AGATTTGACCCGCTGCTCGACTGTCTTTCGGTACTCTTTAGATAAAAGGCTGATTTTTCAATTGTTAGATAAAAGTTATAGGGAATGATTATGATGCTGTCGCGTGAGAATGTTTGTATAATACAGGGACAGCAACAATTATAATCCTCAGATAACATTTATCTGACTATTGAAAAATTAGCCCTTAGAGGGAGGGGATTTTACATTTATAACTCTCAGCAATATTGATTAGGTACATACTAGCTTCCGCCCACGGCTTCGCACGCGTATAAAAATAATGTATCTCGGGATTTTAAAAACTGCACCGTTTAAAGCGATAGCTCCACTTAAATACGCAAATCAAGTATAATTAATTTATAGCCTATAGCACTCAAACATTGTAGCTACCTATCAGTGAAAGAATTTTATAAATCAGACCAGCGGTTCCATAGATTACCCCCTACATACAAACTTACAGATTTTACCTCTTTATAACAGTATAGTATAGAAGACTAATCTTTACTAGGAATTAAAAGCACGAATTAAAACGAAGCAAGTTCTTTTTTTTACAAAACAATCTAACTCGTTTGCTTATGACACCTACATTCTGAAAAGTGTCACATGCAAATGGGAAGTGGCAGAGAGGTTTAAAAAAATGACACAAAATTACACCAAGGAATTAAGGGACAGAAAATTAAAATAAAAAAAAAACACCTCACGTAATTTACGTTTATGGTGTTTCTTGCTCGTTCTTCTCCATAGGAATCTACGCTTTGGAACGAACTAATTAATAGCTTCACTAGAGGACAGACCGACCGACTGACACACACATAAAGTTACACTTTTTGATATTTATTTTTTGTTTGAAGTTCAAAATTACCTGTAGTGGTCTATTTTAAATAAATTATTTGACTTTAATTTTGACTTTACGGATGCCTCAATACTTACTGATTGAAAACCATCCCTTCTCCTGTTTTGGATCGGGGCCGCAACAAAATATTACGCTTGCAATACAATTGGTACCTACCTAAAGAATCCTTCGTGATTTTTCACTTGTTCTTCAGTTTCCTAGTCGCTTTCGCTCATAACTTAAACCACACCACGTCGTCAAGTAACACGCATTGTCAAGAATAACTCTCCTGGCGACTTTCTCCTCAACTAATGTATGTATACATACATACATGCAAGCGTTTGTCTGTCTGTTTACAAAACACCGCTAGACACACTGTCATACTTTCTATACGTATTATTTCTGTTTTAACAACTGCTAAGTGTTAAAGAGCAATGCTTTGACACGAATGGGCTGGCTCGGCCGGAGTGATACCATGGCCTCGCAGAAAACCAGCGTAAAACGACCTTAGCGTTGTGTTTAGCCTTGTGAGTGAGGTTACCGGTGGCCCAATCCTTCCTGCCATCCTCAATCGACAAATCCCCTATCCTTAAATCCTTAATAGACCACACGAAGCCAGAAAGGCACTTGTAACTCCTTTGGTAATACGAATGTCCATGGACGGCGCTAATTGCTTACCATCAGGTAAAAATAAAGAGATTACAGTTTTTGCTATGCTTAGATGGCGCCACCGGCGTTTATGGTCCAGTCACTGTTGCTAAATGTCTTTGCGGTATGTAGGGTCTACAATTGTGAGATAGAAACAAATCGAACACTGCTTCTCTGTAAACTTTTTGATCTGCAATCTCCAATCTGCTCGCCAATCGTGGAGATTAGAGATTTAATGGATTCCTGACGATTATGGAACTTGACTGCCTAATATACATATGTATATACTTTATTTACCTACCTTCGAATTCATAATAATATATAATTATTATAAACTGTCAACTTTCTACAATAGATTGTCGACTTAATCATTTTAAAATAAAGAAACAAATTGATTGACTACTTTAGCTTTGCATACTGGCGTCAACATTTGTTCAATCAATATTCATCTTTATTCCAAGTGTTTAAGTTTGAAAATCGATTAAAGTATATTGATTTCGTAGCTTGCCACATAACCCTTATGTACATAATGTTATGTATGTGTGTGTTTATGTAATTTTGCTATTTATGTTAGTAATAAGTATGAAAATGTCGGGTATTTTGTGGTTAGTAACAGATATAAGGAAAATTTTAAAATTATATAACTTAATATTATAAATGCGAAAGTAACTCAGTCTGTCTTTTATTCACGCCTAAACTATTGAATCTATTTCTGTGAAATTTGGTACCTACAGACATAGTTTGGAACTCGAGAAAGGACATAGGATTGTTTTTATACCAAAAATGTACAGGAAGTCACTATTCCACGCGAACAAAGTCGCTTGTAAAAGTTTATTGTATTAAAAGTTGATGCGATTTTTTTAATAGATAGAGTGATTGAAAAGGAAGGTTTATACTATGTGTTATATCATCCATTAAATAGTGGAGAAAATTACATCAGTGCAAAGCCGGGGCGGGTCGCAATTAATTAAAAAAATTGCAAAAGTCTGTAGTTACGGATGGAACTACTGAACGGATCTGAATGTAATTTGGCACAGAGATAGATTATAGTCTGGAATAACATATCGGCTACATTTTTACCCTTGCACTGCAAGCGGAGCCGGTACCAGAAGCTTAGTTCTTACATAATGTTTAAAGGTATTAGGCAATATTTCTCACGACGCATTGTTTTAAGAAACTCGTGCAATTTCTTAACTACAGGCTGTTCATGATTGCGGGGTAAGCGCAATGAGGCACCACGACCTCGGCCCAGAGCAGGAGAAGGAACAGGGGGGTTTTTAGTCAGTAAGTGTCTGACACTCTCTCTCGCCTTACCCTGGGCGGGAGAAGTCATTGGATGCTTTGCCGCTGACAAAAAAGCCTGTTAACATTTTCATTAACACAAGAATCTTATTTTGTTTATTGTAGCTATCGAGACGCGCGGTCCTCATTAATAAGAGTCCCGTTGTAGTTGAAACTAGTCGAGCTTTTCTCAATTCATTTTCGTGACTAAGTCGTTATTTTCAATATCTAAATATCTAATTATTAATTGGTAACGTCACTGACACGGTGAAATACATAGCAAGATTTTTCGCTTCTTTGTTTTTTTTTTGAGTGGTGATATCGTCAAGCGTCGTGATTAATGCTCAAATCTTCTCCTTGTGATAAGAGGCCTTAACTCAGCAGTAAGCTGATGATGGTGATGACGACTGCCGTAACCACAGAGCTTTATGAACTACTAGCTACTCTCGTGCGGTTTCACCCGCTGCTCGGCTGCATTTAATCGTAGCGTGATGTTTTAAAGCCTATAGCATTTAAGAACATTGTAGCTATCTATCAGTGGAAGAATTTTGGCAATCCGACCAGCGGTTCCAAAGATTACCCCCTACATACAAACTTACAAATTTTACCTCTTTATAATAATAGGTCTTTACCTATGAAATTGCCGTTTTGCATGAAAAAATTTAAACGATTTTTTTTATTTGAAATGCGATGAAAATATAACAGTAATCAATAAACAAATGACTGACTGACTGAAACGGCCAGTACTGCAACTGGCCATTTCAGATCAAAATAGTTTTTGTTAGGCTAAGACTAATTAATTTTGTTTTAAAAACATGGGATTCTTTTTCCAAAAGTAGTCAGCTCAGTCTGTAGTTTGAACGGCGATTTCATAGGTAAAGACCCATTGTTCTAGTTTGTTACGTTTGGTTTGATGTGAACGTTACGTTTTTGTGGCATTTTCTTAGATAAGTACTTACATATACTGCAAAGGTAATTTTTTATTTCGTTATTGGACCGCTATCACGGCTGGTGGTAAGCCATGATGCGACCTACGATGGAGCACGACTACCCATAAGCAAACTATTTACTCGGGCCTTGAAGACACCCAGGTCCACCCATACCCTTCGGGTAACACAGACTCCAAAAAAAAAGTCAAAAATCATTTATTTCAATTAGACCACAGTAGGCACTTTTGAACGTCAAGCAAGCAAAAAGGGAAAAAAGTATATAACAAGAGCTTTAAAATTAAGCGTGTCAGTCTGTCCGTCTGTCCTCTAGTGAAGCTATTTGCTCGTTCCAAAGTGTAGATTCCTATGGAGAAGAACGAGCAAGAAACTCCATGGTTACTCTTTTTCAATCAGTTTTACAATACATTTCTTTGTTACATCATTTAGTCGGTTCTGATATGTGAGAACAATGTAACACTAATGTTCAGGCAAAAAGTACGAAAAAGAAGTGAACCTCAAGGACAACATAATTAGACAGCCTGGAGCTGACCAGTCCCAATAGGCGAAGCAAAGCGCGAAGACAAAGTATTCCACTCCTTAGCGGTTCTGATTATAAAACTGGAGTTCTCGCTTTATGAATCAGCTAGTAGTCATGTAGCACCTACCTACTTACTTTTTCTTTTCATCATCATCAGCCTATAAGTGCCCACTGCTGAGCAAAGGCCTCTTCTCATACGGAGAAGGTTCGAATCACCAACGCTTGCTCAATGCGGGTTGGCGATTTCAAACTTACAATTAGAAATTATAAGTCCAGGTTTCCTCACGATGTTTTCCTTCACCGTATGTCAGTGGTGTCTAAATAATCATAGAAAGTACATATAACTTGAAACAAGTCACATTGGTACTTGCCTTGTTTCGAATCCACATCCGCATAAGAAGCCGGCTGCTTAACTGCCGGGTTTTTAATGCTTTGAATTATATAAAAACAATACAAATAGGTACATACTTATTTATTTTTTTAGTTACGGTTTCATGTGACGGATTACTTTAATTACTCTTAGGTACTTTCCAATCGCAATCAGCAGCACCCCTATTGCGATTGATTTGCTTACCAACACTGGCAATACATATATGAGTGCGTTTGGTGATTAGAGTTTCGGAGATTTAGGGATTGGGGAAGAACGGGCGGAAGTAGATTCCTCACACACATCAAAACACAACGCTATGGTTGTTTCACGCCGGTTTTCTGTGAGGTGCTGAAGCATGGCTCTCCCACACTTACCTTACTTAAGCTATTGTATTATTTGTTACAGAACAAAATGAGGACTCTGGCAGTTTTGTGTCTCCTGGCGCTGGTATACGGAGCCCTCGCCAAGAATAAGAAGGGAGATGATCATAAGGTAAGAACGTCCAACAAACTTTAAAACCGGACAATTTGTCATGTTCCATCACGCTACCATCCTACTTCCTACTATCGTACAATCCTACAATCCTACTATCCTACAATCCTACTATCCTAGTAATATTGTGAGAATGTATGTTTGTTATTTTTTCAAATAAAAACGACAGAACGGATTTGGTTGTTTGGTACGTAGATAGGTCTGTCTACATGGATAACACATAGGCTTCTTTTTTTCCACATACTTACCACGTATAGAAGCTATTTACTGCCAAACAACACGCAATTGGGACTGTAAAATGATTGATTTCAATTTTTCATTTCAACGATAAATGGAATAAATGGTAGGCCAATTCAAAAACAATGATGATGGATACAAAACATAGATGGCGCTGTACGACATCGCTCTTGTCACCTAAGTTGAAACTGCAATTAAAAAAAAGATCATCGCGCCTTGTAAAGTATTAAGATGTTAGATAAGTGTTAAAATGTCAGACTGTAACGAAAAATAATAATATTTAGGTTCTTATGATGGTAATTATAAATTAGTCCTAATGAGTCCTAAGTAGTCCTAATGAATGGAGCAGATAATTTTCCAGTAAAGGTATTCTTTCACCTATTTGGAGAACACTTTACGCTTTTGTTTGAAGGGAAATCTTTAAGTTACTTCTCTCACCTAAGGTGGGGTAAGAGAGAGTGTCGGACTCTTACTGACCAACTAATATACCTTGCTTCTCCTGCTCCAAGCTGTCATGTCGATGTCACAATATATTGTTGTGCTTAACCCGCAACCCGGCTAAACAACATGAACATCCTACCTTAAAACATTATTAAGACACTAATTAACCTCTCAATCATATTATCGAGAGACAATAAAAGAACAATAGGTGCGCAAACGCCGGCTTTCGACTGAGGTTTGTTGAACCAATTGGGAGAAAAAAATATTTCGACGACGTTTCAATACAATCAAATATTAAAACCTAACTAACACCTGGTTTCTGAAAGGCTTGTCAACGCTAAAATTAACTAATCTCCTGTTAAATCTCTTATCAAGTCACATGATTGGTTGACTGAATTATCAACAACCAATCAGATGACTTGACAAGAGATTAAATTGATTTTAACATTGATCGGCCTTTCGGAAACCGGTTGTTAGTATACTTTATTCGTCGATCTATCGATACACTAAGTTTTCTATATTCTTTAGCTGATTCTTAAGAAATAAGTAAGCAATTTGATGTAAAAATACTATGACGTCATAAATTGGAGTGTCATACTTTCATATAATGAATGAGCACCTAGCTTCACTGACGAACAGACTGACAGACTACTTCTCTATTTTGACGTTTCAAAAGTACCTATTTATGGTTTAGTTGGAATAGAGGATTTTAACTTTGACTTTGACTTTGACTTTGACTTTTACTTTGACTTTGACATACAAAAGTATCGTTTTTGACATTTTGATTTTAATTTGTTGGAAACTATTGTACCGTATTAAAATAAGGTCTTTGTCTCACAGGTGAAGATAGCGGTTTACTACGAGTCGCTCTGCCCCGACAGCAAGCGGTTCATCACCACACAGCTGGCACCAGTATGGAGGGACTTCCGTGGAGTCGTCAAGGTCAAGATGGTGCCATACGGCAAGAGCACGGTACGTATTTAACGACTTTGTGCGGCTAACGAGCAGACGGATTACCTGATGGTAAGCAATCAACGCTGCCCATGGACACCCAAAGCAGTAACGAGTGCGTTGCTGGCGTTTTAGGGATAAAGGTTTTGAATCTGAGGATTGGGAAGGGATGGGGATTGGGCCTCCGGTAACCTCACTCACAATGAGAAACACAACGCTGTGGTTATTTCACGCCGGTTTTCTGTGAAGCCGTGGTATCACTCCGGTCGAGCCGACTCATTCGTGCCGAAGCATGGCTCTCCCACACTAAGTAGCAATACATTGGATACTATAAAAGAATGTTGTGATTACAATGGGCGGTCTAATCGCACCAGGCGATTTCTTCCAGACAACCTTTAGATGGTAGTATAAAAGAAACTTCTTGGTTTTAAATTTATTGAAATTTTAGATTACCTAAAAGGATGACTTCACAATTGGCGTGGTGGTCAGGCAACTGACTATGGCACAACGTGTCACGGGATTAATTCCCGCACGGAACAACTCTTTGTGTGATCCACAAATTGTTGTTCCGGGTCTAGGTGTGATGTGTATGTAAAATTGTATGTTTATAAACGCATCCACAACACAGGAGATAATTCTGGTGTAGGAGACATTTATATAAAACAGGTTAATTGTACACTTATTATTGTGGGCAAAGCAACGAGTAAAAGCTAGATCCATTTCATTCAATCACTCACTGATCATACGGGCATTACTGTTTGAAATAACTTTTTAATCAGTCTGTCAATTTATCCGTGAACATCGTTGCAAAACAAAGAATCTTATGGAGAAGAATGTCACAAAATGGGCTTTTAACCTGCCCTTTTTTGGTTGGAAAATCCTCATGGACACCCACCGCCCTAGGGGAAGGGCTAAGAGTACCGTCAGACTCTTACTGACTAAAAACCAACCCGGTGTTTCTCCTTTACCCACGTGTCGGAGGGATGGTTTTAAGAATATAATAATCGTAAATGTGTATATTTTTTCTCTTTACAGCACGATAAGGTGAACGGTAAATGGCAGTTCTTGTGCCACCATGGACCTGATGAGTGCTACGGCAACAAGGTATGTACCCACTTCATCATCAGACCCTAAGACTTTAAGACTAGACCATGAGCTTCCTTTACAGTGTATTAAGTTAACCGAGGGACATATTGAAGGAGCCGATATTGTTTCACTACACGATATGGTTTTTAATTTTCGTAAATAATTTTCATTTCGTAAAGATTGTTTTTTCTGCCCCCATTTTTTTGTATTTCGTCATAGGTATTGGGACTGGATTGGACTAAATGATGTAACAAAGAAATGTATTGTAAAACTGATTGAAAAAGAGTAACCATGGAGTTTCTTGCTCGTTCTTCTCCATAGGAATCTACACTTTGGAACGAGCAAATAGCTTCATTAGAGGACAGACGGACAGACTGACACGCTTAATTTTAAAGCTCTTGTTATATACTTTTTTCCTTTTTTGCTTGCTTGACGTTCAAAAGTGCCTACTGTGGTCTAATTGAAATAATGATTTTTGACTTTTGACTTTTGGAATCACACACGCAGTTGACCGCTACCACGCCTGGTCGTAAGCAATGATACGTCCTACGATGGAGCACGCCTACCCATAAGCAACCTATTCACTCGGGCCTTGAATACAACACAGATACACAGGGTTCCACAAAAGGCTTATAACCAGTATCATGGTCTCGTTTTGAATTAACTTTCTGAACATCCAACGGTCAGTTTAATCTGGTTTTATTAGCTTAGTGTATAGTATGATGTGTATATGTTTATGAACACAATATTCTTGGTACACAATAATATTTACAATTAACAATTACTGCGCAGCGCTTATGGTGGGATTTCCCACGATCGAAATGCTTGTGAAGTTGGTACTATAGTGTCTCTACTACATTAGAAATAGGAAGAAATATATTGTCGTGTAGTGTCACGTCAGAACGCAGTATCGTATATTTAAGAGCACACTACACAACGTATAAATATAATAAAAAATCCGACCTAGCCATAATCCTACCCAGCCTGATTTGACTGCCCCTCCACTTGAGCCGAGTTTCGAACCCCACAGGGGGTGCCCTCAGCGATGAGGTCATTTAGCTTTGGTAGTTTTTTTTGCCCTGGCTGGGAGCCTTAGAGGCCACCGCAAGGATTAGTCCGGTTATGTATTAAACAGCCGTAGCGTACTAAAATACGAGTGGTTACAGCAAAAAAAAAAACAACGTATAAATTAATGTCTCAAACCATAGTATATTATCATCAATACTTAACTTTTTTATATTATTTTAAGTATGTTCAAAAGAGCATATTAATTATAATACTTTTGTTAATAAATGATTTGCTTTTGACTTGATACAGAACCAATATGCTGCTGGTGCGTCAAATGTCACGACATTCTGATCAACTTCTACCTCAACCTTTCAATAGTGAAAGAAAGAAAGAAAGAAAAATACATTTATTCGACAAATAGGCACACAAATACAAGTACACTAGGAGAAGGCATTTGATGATTTTCCGCTCACAAAACAAAACACAGATGGATTTAAATCACACAATTAAAAGAATTCTAAAAACGCGATGGTAAAATTGTAGACAGGACAATACAATCAAGTAATTACGTCGTTACTGCAATACTAGTGATGATTTTATCTGATCCTTGCAATGTACCAATGCACGCGAGATGCAAAAGTACGTACCTACCTACAAACTAGATCCAAGTGACCACAGCCGTAGACGGTCTTGTGTTTCTATAACGGGAGTCATTAAAACAAATATATACTTACTTATGTAGTATATGAAGTTGCACCTATTTTCATATTATTACTAGTTTTTGTCCGCGATTCCATTCGCGTGGAATACTAGACTTCCTGCAGATTTTTAGTATCAAAACTATCCTATGTCCTTTCTTAAGTTCCAAACTATGTCTGTACCAAATTACACAGAAATCGGTTCAGTAGTTTAGGGGTGAAGAAAAGACAGACAGACAGACATTTATAATATTAGTATGGATTATACTGAGTAATAAAAGTTCATAGTGGTCGTCCAGAGGTTAAGGCACCCGCTTCTCATACATGAGAGCTTCTTTGGCAAGTACCAATGTGACTTTTCCGAGTTACATGTACTTTCTATGATTATTAAGACACCACTGACAAACGGTCAAGGAAAACATCGTGAGGAAACCTGGACTTATAATTTCTAGTTAGGTATAAGTTTGAAATCGCCAATCCGCTTTGAGCAAGTGTGGTGGTTAATAGGTACTCAAACTTTCTCCGTGTGAGGAGAGGCCTTTGTAGGACGATGATGTGACATAAATAACGAAATAAAAATTAGCTAATAAAAACTATTTCGCACATAAATTCGGAGAAGAAACCATATTTACGTAATTAGCATGGTAGGAAGCAAGGTTTAATGTTCCTTTTTAACGGAAACAAGTGGTTTCTTCAACCAGAGTTAGGATTTTCATAGGTGCAAATATTTAATGGTTTTCTTTAAATAAAGCGCCATCTATTAGATTTTCCTTGAATTATGTTCGCATAGCTTATATAATATGTAACCGTCACAATATAAAAAAAACCTGTTCAATCTTCCTTGCAGATCCAGGCTTGTATCCTGAAGGACCGTAGCCTCCAGGACACGGAGAAGATGGAGCTGGTCATCTGCCTCATGAACCAGTCCAACCCTGACAAATCTTTGGACACGGTAAGAAATATATATTTTAGGTTTTTTTTTATTTATTTTATTTAAACTTTGCCCCACACTAGGATTTTCACCTCACACCCTGACCCGGAACAACACTTCGTGGATCACACAAAGAGTTGTTCAATGCGGGAATCGAAGCCGCGTCACGTTGCGCGGCAGCCGGTTGCCCAGCCACCGCGCCAACCGTGCAGTCACAACACACTTTTTACAACTTAATTTGGATGAAAGATACTTTTTTTATGAATTTGATTGTTATAAAAATTACCACCTTGCTATTTAAAAGGTTGTAAGCACGAATGCGTAGCAAAATTTTTCGCAGAAAACACGAATATCAGCACGGGAAGTACTTAATACTTTATTCGATTACTAAGTTAGGTTAAGTTAAATCCTGTTCATAATGTAGAAATGGATACGTTCAGGCTCTATTCCATGCGACTAGGTGAAAATGGATTTAACCTTTTTTAAAGCTGTCTGCACGGGGTAAGCGCAATGAGGCACCGTGACCTCGGCCCAGAGCATGAGAAAGAACAGGGAGGTTTTTAGTCAGTAAGAGTCTGACACTCCCTCCCGTCCGACCCTGGGCGGGAGAAGGCATTTGATGATTTTTCCGTCACAAAAAAAAACGGTTGGCGCGGTAGCTGGGCAACTGGCTGCCGCGCAACGTTTCGCGGCTTGGATTCCCGCACGGAACAACTCTTTGTGTCTACAAATTGTTGTTCCGTGTATAATGTAATAATAATGTATGTGTAATATATTTTGTAAACGCACCTACGACACAAGAGAAAATGCAAGGGCGGGGCAACGTCTTAAAAAAACTTTCTTTCTTTCTGCCCTTTTGCAAAAATAAATACCTACGTGAAAAATGTGATGCTAAAAAAACTTTCTTTCTTCCCTTTTGTGGAAATAAATACGTCAACAAAGTCATCCTTGACTAACTAAATGCGTTAATTCTCTTCCAGTGCCTAACCCAAATCAACAAGGAATCTGAATCAGTCAAGTTGAAGCGATGCGCGTCGTCTGAACAAGGAGACAATCTGCTTGCAGCTTACGGTGACAAGAGTGATGCTGTACAGCGCCCTCTAAGTTTTGTTCCCACCATTATTGTCAATGAGGTAACGTCATTCATGTTAATACAGTAGTTTCCAACCAGTCAAATTCAATACTTTTATCCAAATGTCAAAAACTATATCTACTGTATGAAAAACTATGACGTCATAGTCTTTTTGCGTCAAATAGCTTACTTATTACTGATAAATTAGCTAGCATCGATAGATCGATGAAAAGTATAGTTAATTTTTAATATTTTATTGTATTGAAACTTCGAATTAATTTATTTTTAGCCTAGGCCTAGACTCAACTAACTGAAAGTTAACAATCTAGGCATGTCTTTTTATCTTAATTGTATATTTAAAAAAAAATGTTTACAATCTCATTTACGTACAATACATAGGTAAATAAATGTTAGCTAATAAACAAAAAATACCTACTTCACCCTCTCACTGCCAACGCGGTCAATGTTGACCGACGCTAGCGGAGGATTTGCCTTCTTCAACAGTTTTCGTCGGCAGTTAAAGACTTAATCTTTATGAAATACAAAAGATATACCTTTAGTTAACCACCTAAAGCGATAAACCTTAATATTTTTTTATAAGATGATCAAACGTGTTCTTGATTGTAATTTCAATTTGTTGTTTTTTGTTGCAGAGATTCGACCAAGCTGTACAAGATGAAGCCTTTACCGACTTAAAGTCGGTCGTGTGTCGCGTCGCAACTAACAAACCATCCATTTGTTAAACAAAAACAATTTCTACTCATAAATAAGTAATTAAAAACACTAAAACAAATCATATCTCAAGTCAACCTTTAAATTAAAATCCGCCATTTGTCGACCATAATGTCAGTATAAAAAGGGCGGCAATTTTGACGTACAAAGTATTTTTTAATTTTTAATTATATTTGACTGACTTTCTCGTCCTCTTCCCTTAATTATGGGATTGGCAAAGTTTTTTACGTAGAATTTTACAAAACAAACGACTAATTACATGGTTCTTTTAAATATAAATCATTGATTTGACCACATTCGCTCCGTACTCACTTTAAATAAGATATTCGTTACAGTTTCATGGTTATTTATGGACAAAAGAGTGCATAATTTGTATTAGTTAATGACTAACACAGGATAAGTACAAGCGCACACGAATTTAAAAACGTTTGCTCGCAATTACGGAATGAATATTAGGGCCTATTTCATTATAATATCATCGGCTTCAGCGCTAGTAGTGTCTATAAAGAGTCTCTTTGTATCATCTACAAGTTTTTGTTCCAGATCTGGGTGTTTCTTGTATATTTTTGTCAACGCACCCATAACATAGAAGAAATTTAGAGGATTGGATTATTGATAAAGAAAGGAAAAATATATTAAAAGACAAGCTTTTTAGATTTAAATAGCATTAGAGTAAAAGCAAGCTAGCATTAGCCACTTGAAAGAACTAAACGCGGTTCGATTTTTGCAACCTAACCTACAAATATGGCAGCACTCAGCTCTGATAGGACGGCCATAGTGTATAAAAGAAATAGCCCTATTATCTAAACGTAATTGCGAAGTGAACGTTGAGAGATTATATATATAAGATTAGGTTAATTAATATAAGTTGTAGGTTTAATAAGCAAATGATCTTTTATTGTATTTTTTTTGTAATAAATTAAGTACTTATTTTTATTTTGATGTTTTATTTACAAGTAATAAAAAAAATAATTTAAAATTTTAAAAATCCCCGACAAACATCTAATATTCCTTTAATTTTATTTATTTTACTTTTTATAGGTATTTTATATCATTTTCTCTCGATTAAGTTATCAACATTCCCTTTCAGTGCGCTTTCATTTGAGATCCCACTCGAGTATATTTGCAGATCTTCCGTTACCCTTCCCCACTTACCCCCCTCCCCCCCCCCCCCCCCCCATAACTTCCAAACGGCTCAACCGATTTTCGTCAAACATGTCTAAGAACACTCGCACGTACCTAACTTACCTTACCTTTAATACAAAAAAAAAACTAAATTGAAATCGCTTCACCCGTTCAGGCTCTAGGATGCCACAGACAGAGAGACAAACAGACACGTCAAACTTATAACACGCCTCTTTTTGCGTCGGGGGTTTAAAATGGCCGACACTGTTATTGATACTCCCATAGACTATAAGCAGAGCTGATCGCTGGCCATCAAGAGATCACATCATCAGCCTATTAATAAGTGGCCACTGCACTTCTCACACAGATCATCACACATAGGAGATTTAATCACAACGCTTGCTTCATTTTTTACAAACTTTCTGCATCGCTCAGCGAAACTTTAAAATGGTCTTCTGCGGCGGTAGTTCCGAATATGACGAGCGTAATGCTTCTTAAAAGGCCGGCAACGCGCCTTTGACTCCTCTGGTGTTGCAACTTGCAAAATGGGCAGCCCTGATCACTTACCATCAGGTGATCTGTCTGCTCGTTTGCCTCCTATTCCATAAAAAAAGACTGATAACGAATTACAACCTTACAAATTATTAGGGAGTTCAGGTTTTGTCCCTACTCCATACTAAGAAAATAAATACATAGTCATCATCATCACCATCATCAGCCTATAAGTGCCCACTGCTGAGCAAAGGCCTCTTCTCATACGGTGAAGGTTAGAGCATTAATCACCACGCTTGCTTAATGCGGGTTGGCGATTTCAAACTCATAATTAGAAATTACACGTCCGTTTCTTCACGATGTTTTCCTTCACTGTATGTCAGTGGTGTCTAAATAATCATAGAAAGTACATATAACTTGGAAAAAGTCACATTGGTACTTGCCAGGTTTCGAACAATTCGAACCCACACCCTCATGCATGAGAAGCGGGCTCCTCAAACTCCGAGCCACCACGACATACATAAATACATAGTAATTATGTGTAAGTAGATGAGAGTAAAAAGTTATTTTTAATTGGCTTGGGCCGAAAATTGGGAGAGCCAAAAATCTTCACGTGTTATAGGTACCTAGAGTCAATTTGTGATTTCAAAACATGCTTACCATTATAATCATCAAAAGATTCCTTTTGCCCTGTGTGGAGCGAAAGAGAGTCTGACTGAAGACCACCCCGTTCCAAAGCTACCTACAAACCTTATTTTTGGCCCCCTATCACGCCTGGTGGTAAGCCATGATGCGACTTACGATGGAGCACGACTAGGTACCTATAAGCAACATAATTATTCAGTCGGCCCTTAAACACACCTACCCTTCGGGGAACACAGACAGGCGCAGACTTCCACTCCTTAGCGGTTCTGATTATACAACTGGAGGCGAACCACTTCGTGCGTGTAGTTGAATTATCCACCATGAAGTGATGACGTTTTGCCGACTGTCTTTTGGTACGATAGTGGAAAGGCCTAGGGGGAATCCAGGTATGTAGATCTCCCAAACATTCTCTGAAATGTATCCGATAAAATAGTGATAGGCTCTTAACTTTGCGCCTGTGTTAAAGGCTTTGAAGTCAGGCCTCTACTAGCGCATCGTTGATAAGCCTCTTGGCACGCCTTTAATGTGTTCTAGTGTATCTAGCTGGTGTTAAGCCGAGCCGTTATGTATATGAGAGCAGTACTCCATACAGGACCGAACTTGCTCTTGGTATAAGTTATATATAAGTAAAAGTAAAAAGTGTGGGAGAGCCAGGCTTCGGCACGAATGGGTCGGCTCGACCGGAGTGATACCAAGGCCTCACAGAAAACCGGCGTGAAGCCACCACAGCGTTGTGTTGCGCCGTGTAAATGAGGTTGCCGAAAACCCTAATCCTTACCTTTTTCCAATCCCTAATCCCGAAAAGGTCGGCAACGCATTCGTAACTCCTCCGTTGCGGGGTGTCGATGGGCGGAGCTGATTGCTTACCATCAGGTAATCTATCAGATCGTTTGCCGTACAACATAAAAAGAGAAAAAATATGTTTAGAACCCTCTGGTCTGGTCTAGATCTATCCAAATTAAACAAAACATTAAGACACCGTATCAATTTATTTACATTAACTTTCGTTATTTTAGTCACAATTTGCATTTAAACCATAATATTTACAATCAGAAAGTAGATTACTTATAAATCTCTATTTACAATAAGTCTAATTATAAAATCTTACTTAAAACAATATAATTCACTGTAAAAAAATAAAAATAAAAAAATAAAATCATAATGTTATGTAATATCATATTTACAATAGCATAGGCGGCCTGCGCATAAAAAAATATAATTTTAAAATTATATAGACGGTACAAATATACTATGGAACGAAAATATCTGTAAGTCATCGCTATAGTATTGTAATGGGTACTTTAAAAAGGCCCTTATTTGACCCCAGTAGCCCAAAATTGTGAACCAAAGTTCAGAATTGATTTTTAACTTCACTATTGCCCTTAAGAAAACTACAATTGGGTAGTTTCCTAGGTCAAAAATAAATTAATCCGATGCTTCAAAACAATAAGATATTGAAAAATAATTATACTTTCATTCATCGATCGATCGATACACTTTAAGAAATAATAGTAAGCTATTTGACGTTAAAATACTATGACGTCATAACTCAGTTTTTCATACAAATTTCATAGAAACGTATCGTTTTTGACATTTGGATAAAAGTATTGAATTTGACTAGTTGGAAACTACCGTATTGTACTGAAAAAGGACCTAAATTCAACCCTAGCAGGGTAAAAAATGTAACGTTAAAAGGCCCATCGCTCTATACGCTATATCAGCTCTGAAAGAACATAATTATTCATTTGTCAAAAAGAATGTTTTAGATGCTTATATCTGATGTAATATCAATCTCAAACCTCCCAGGCGTGTGTTCAATTTTATAATTCTATTCGTGTCACACCAATACGTGGTTTGCATTCACAGAAACAGATATTTTCGCCCCACAGCCTAAAATGCTACACACACAATCATGATTTTTACAATAATTGGCAACATTCATACATACATAATTTCTTACAGATAAATATTATCATAAATCGACTAAAAACTGTCAGTATAAACATATAATAATAATGGACTTTCATTATAGATTAACTTTACTAACATCGAATAAACATGACGTTGACACGAAAACAGAGAAAAACATTGAGATATTTTTTTTGCACGGTTGCAATGTTGGTACCAAATTTCTCCACTATTTAATCGATGCTATTACACATATAAACCTTCCTCTTCAATCACTCTGTCTATTAAAAGAACCGCATCAAATTCCGTTGCGTAGTTTTAAAGATTTAAGCATACACAGGGATATAGGGACAGAGACAGCGACTTTGTTTTATACTATGTAGTGTTTATTGCTTTTAAAATCCATAGGACAATCGACTGGCAAAATGAAGTAAAAAAATGGACATTAACCATTTAAAAATTCGCGCCTTTTTTGTTTTTTTAAATAAAAAATCACCCACATATTGTATTATACTCAATGATATTATATATTAACAGATATGTTACAAGCGCGCAAAAGTGAAGACTCGAAAAGGATACAATACAGTAGTTTCCAACTAGTCAAATTCAATACTTTTATCCAAACGTCAAAAACGATACTTTTCTATGAAATTTGTATGAAAAACTGAGCTATGACGTCATAACTTTTTGGCGTCAAGTAGCTTACTTATTTCTTAATAATTAGCTAAAAAAAATCTAAAAATTAGTGTATCGATCGATCGATGAATAAAAGTATAGTTATTTTTCAATGTTTTATTGTATTAAAACGTCGAATTAATTTATTTTTGACCTAGGACACTACCCAATTGTATGCAAGTACAATTAGTCTCTCTTAGAATAATGTTTGTTTACGTTGAGTACGTAATTGATAACAATAGCTAATTCGTTTTTTCTTGTTTTATTTTTCATACTATCCTTTTTCTACAATTTTAACTTGTAATGACATGTACATTTAATGAAAGGTATGTGAGAGTACTGACACTTGGCGCGGAAAACATTTTTCGTGCGTTTTATGAGCGTATAACATATCTGTGTTAATATAATAATAGGTTACCTATGAAATTGCCGTTCTGCAGTACTGGCCATTTCAAACCAAATAATTTTTGTTAGGCTAAGGCTAATTTACTTTGTTTTAAAAATATGGGATTCTGTTACCAAAAGTAGTCATTTGTTTATTGATTAGTGTTACATTATCATCGCATTACAAATCAAAAAATTCGTTTAAATTTTTTCATGCAAAACGGCAATT